GAAAAAAAGAGCATGAGGTGTCCTGTCGACGACTCGGCAGCCGTAAGTCAGATAACTTCAGAGGCACTCTGCAGCGTGCTCAAAGCTCTTCGACTTGGGCGGAAGTTGCGCAGAATTTTAAACGGCCAGCGAGCCAATTACTAGCTGCCACGTGTGAATAATTTTAGCACTGGCCAATAGCAGGGTACAAATTTACATTCGAATAGCGGGAACTCTTTGCACCGTGCATTTCTGTGCTGCAAAGAAGAAATGCATCCTGCAAAGGAAACTGCAAATTGGCGGGAACTTTTTCCTATACGCGGGTTCTCAATTGCAGCAGAACACTCTGCCGTGCAAAAGAGCTCTCATGTGACCAGGAAATTCCATAGTGCCGAGGCACAAAAATCACTGGGTTGTGACAGCCCCTTGCTCAGTTTCATTCAGCTCCCAACAGTGGAAAAGGAAACACAAGGCAGCCACTGCAAGAGCACCCAGCCTCCTGGGAAACCAGATGAGGAGGTACCCCTTTACCTGTCCAGCCACTCCACTCTCCCACCCCTCCCATCTCCAAATCAGCTTATCTGTGCCCTGCCATCACAAATGACATGACACAGATAAGCATCTTGGGGAAAACACTGTTTAAGAGTGGTGGAGGCTTTGGGCTGCCTGCAGAATACCAAGCTCCTCAGAAGCAAGGGCCCAGGCACCCATTACCTCCACATATACTTGCCCTTCTGTCCCAAGGGAAAGCCTTTTTAAGGTAGCAGGCTGAGGCAGAGACCTTGGGCACCTCTCCCCACGACCCCCCCCAGTGCAGAGTAATTAAAGCACATGTATGATTGGAGAAAGAAGTGTACATACACACACACACCATTAACATGTGTAATATTTATCATATTTTCACAGCCATTAGATTAATTCATAAGAAAGTGATTTTCAAAGGGTGTAAAAAGATGCCAGACAGTTCAGGGAATTAACTCCCTTAGCCAGTCACTGACAATGAAAGCTTCCTAATATTGCTCCTCTACAAGCCAGATCCATACAGAACAAGGCCAATTCAGCTTCCAATTCCATTGAGGTCACCCAGAAGGTTTCACTTATGATCACTTTGTCATGTACATAAATTAAGACAGACTACTGACAGAACTCCCGATTGGGTTAAATAAACTTTCTACAAACACTGCACTGTTCTTCTCCCTGGAGGACAAGCCAGCACAGGATGCAAGCTGTTTATTAGAATTGATACAAACATGAAGTGTGAGGCACCTTAAGCTCTTGGCTGCTGAAGCAGCTGACCTTTTGTCTCTCTAAACTGGTCCATGTTAGCTGAGAGCTGCTGGTGTCTGACATTGTCATTCTGTTCTCAGTCCTTTTTCACCCAACCACGGAAGTGGTCCATGGAATGAGAAACTCCAGTGTAATCTTCCCAGAGATGAATTACTTTCGTAGGCAGTAAACTGAAGGAGAGAAAAGGAAAAAGAACACACAAAGTATTTGTATGGAGTTTTACAATTCACAAGAGCCACATACCTGACTAGCCCCATTAAAAGAAAATGTATGGCTTCAAGAATTCTGGACAAGCAGTCCGCATGGCATCCCCATGGGGATGACAAATCTCTAACTTACAGCCAAAGCAACCGAAGAAGAGGGGGTGATCCTTGGTACCACAAAAGCTAGTCTGTTGGAGCCAGCGTTACACCTCGGGAACCCTAGTCCCCAAAAAGTACACATTCTTTGATGTATTATTTCAGTTTCTACATGGCAATTTGCTATATTACCAAGAACTTAAGGAAGTGGGAGACATCCCAAAGCTAATAGGCCTCCTGCTCCTGCAATAGACAATTGATTTTGGAAGTCAGAAGTTTTAGAAACTGTCATTTTCTGGACTCAAGTCCATTGTAGCCTAGTTTCAGTGCGGTACGTTCTCATGTCCTAGTCTAGTGCAGGGTTTGCAGCAGAGGCGGCAACAGCAATGAAAACCTAAAAACGTTAACATGTTTGTAGATAAAATTTTACAGGAGAGTGTTTTGAACAGTCCTTTTATTCCTATGAGTAGTTTCTCACTTAAATACATGTAACTGTTGAGCAATATTCTATTATTTTAAACAGAAAAGGAGTTAAAGTGTTCGACCACCAGTTGCTTCTAGGAGAGTGTCCAGCCTTCAGAAACTCAAAAGAAAGAGTTAAAGGGAAACACCTGACTGCATAAGGAGAAACTGGCCTTTAAAGTCTTTTCCATTATCTTAAAGTGTGATTAAGCAGTGGGTAAATATCTCCAGCACTGGAGGTTATGTGCTGCAGCCTCATTGGACAGACCTTCAGAGTCAGGCAGCTGTGTTTTGTAAAGGGGGTTTGCTCTGTGAACCCATTAAAGCCTATGCTGTGTTATCTAATTTAACATCTGGTCATTGTTTTCTCAGCTCTTTGCCTTGGATTTTCAGCCAATGTTTAAAAACAGAAGCCTAAACTTTGGCTCCAAATCCATGTTTGTGCATCTAACCCACCTCGACTCTACCAATTCTCACTCACCTGCTTCAGTACACAGTAGCATTACTACAGCAGTCCTCCATGCAATCAAGATAAAAGTCCAGTTGCAATTTTTCCCAGCTTACATTTAAAAAAAAAAAAGTTTCTCCTTTATAAAGGATTTGGATACATTCAACAATAGGAAGGTATTTCCTTGTATAAAATGTGTGCAGGACTATGCCATGCAATACCCACTCTGTGGTAACAATTTATCAACATAAAAAGTGAACCGAAACACCCAGGAATCAGAGCATAAGTAGCAGAAACACCACATTTGACCAAGGAAAGAAAAACAACAAACACAAGAAACAAGGAAGATACCAATCCTTACTTTTTCACGGCAAATAAAATGCACACTAGTGCTGGGATTATCAAATACACTTGTTCCCGTAGAATAGCATTGACAATTGTCTCAGCTGCATACTCTGGATCCAGGATAGGAAGTAGACGGGGAAACCTGTACAAGAGACATATGACTATGATGATTACCACGGTAACTGTCAAGTAGGGGTGTGCAAAGCTGGCCCTATTTGATTTGGATTCAGATTCAGCCCGAATCGGGGACAGTGATTTGATTAGTTGATTCAGATCACCGTTTCTGATTCGATTCAGCTGAATCCAAATCTGAAGATTTGATGCTGATTTGGAGAATCAGCGATTTGGCCACAGACACAGCTTTAAATGCTTTTTCTACATACCACGAGGTAGCAGCGTGGCTTGTGAATGCTGCAATGCTGGGGCGGATGGATCGTTCCACAGGAGGGCAGGGAGGGGGCCCCCCTCACGTGCTCAGCGGCGAACCCAGAAATGGACTGGAAGTACTTCTGGTCCACTTCCGGGTCTGCCAGGGAGCATGCAGGAGGACCCCCCTGTGTTCCCCCAACTGGGCAACTGGCTGCAGGGGGATCCCAGGTGCCCCCCAGAACCCAGTCGCCAAGCCGCAGAGGTTCTGGGGGGCCCCCCCAGCATGTTCCCTGGTGGACCTGGAAGTGGACCCATAGTGCTTCTGGTCCACTTCTGGGTCTGCTTCCGAGCATGCTGGGGAGCCCCCCATGCTTCTGTGGGACACTCCATCTACTCCAGCATCACAGCATTGATTAGCTGCCTGCTACCTTGAGGTATGTAGAAAAAGCATTTAAAGGTGCGTCTATGTCTGAATCTCTCTGAATTGATTTGAAGGGTTCCAATTTGATTCAGAGAGATTAAAGGGTCCTCTCATTCGATTCGGATTTGGAGATTTGGCCACTGAATCAAGCTGAATCACTGCTGAATCAAATCAGGGACCAAAGCTTCGCACAGCCCTACTGTCAAGGCTTTCACTTTGTATCTTGTTCTCAATTCCAAGATACTCAATTGTAGCAACTTCCTTCTCTATCCCTGCTTCAAATTCAAAGCCACCATTTCTTGTATTTCACTATTTTTCTCTTCACTTCCAAGTTACAGGAGAATCATTTGTAAAAACAAATGCATTTGCATATGACAAGAGAAATAACACCAGAAAAATCTCCTCCGTTTCAATCACCTGGTTGTAACGCCATCAAACATGCCTGTATTGATGAAGTATGGACACACAATGGTTGTTTTAATACCAGTTTTCTTCAGAGCATGCATCTCTACATCAATGGTTTCTGCAAAGCCCACTGCTGCAAACTTACTTGCACAATAATCTGGGAAGCAAATAAAAGAGACCAGAGTTACTGTTTAGACATTTTTCTTTGCGAAGAAAGCTTTGTTACCAACATGATGAGGTGGTATTATTGCTTCTTCATATTCTACCTGTCAACAAATTAGGCAAAAACTCAGACCTCCTTTCTTTTGACAGAAAGTGAGATGCTTTAATAGGAGCAATTTGCATACCTACAACCTTCATGTAGCCTACAGCATCAGGGTAAGAAATTCAGTTAATTTCAAGACACGCACACCTGGTAATAACGAACAGCTCACCACAGCACAGGAAGAATTAGTCAAGCCAGGCAGGGTAAAGCTGTCGTTGGCACCCTTCATTTCTCCCTCCCATTTGGAATTCCCCAGTTACACACTCCATTTTCCCCTCAACTCCACCTCATTTGCTAGCTCCTCATGTTAAACTCTCTGGTGCCCCCTCACCCTCCCTCTGTACTCCAAGACATTATTGTTGCACTCTCTCAGTCAAAATGCATTCCCATCCCCTGGTTCATGCTCACAGCTCTAGCTACGACTCCCATGTCTTGTTGCTTCTCTGATACAGCCTGCCCAGAATAGGGAGAATTCCTCCCAGTTTTTTCTCCCAATCATCGAATCATAGAAAATGAGGGTTTGAAGGGACCTCAGGAGGTCATGCAGTCCTGGTGAAAGCAGGACCATCCCCAACTAGATCATCCCAGACAGGGCTTTGTCAAGCCAGGCCTCAAAAACTTCTAAGGCTGGAGCTCTACGTAATCTGTTCCAGTGCTTTACCACCCTCTCTCAATGAGAAAGTTTTTCCTAATATCCAACCTCAACTTCCCTTGCTGTAACTTGAGATCATTCCTCCTTCTTCTATCATTGTCACCACTGAGAACAGTCTAGCTCCATCCTCTTTGGACCCACCCTTCAGGTAGCTAAAGGCTGTTATCAGATCCATCTCCTTCACCTCATTTCTCCAGCATTAAACCACGACCTTTCCATCATCACTGTCAGCTTCTCCTCTTCTCTCCTACTGCCTTATATCACCAACATCAAGGATTTGTCTGCTAGCCTTAGCCCATGAGCAGGCAAAGTCCAACCCACGGGTCAGATCTGGCTGGCCATGGACTCCAGGCTGGCACCTGCCCGAGTGGTGAATTATAGTATTATTTAAATTTTCTTTTATATTTAGCCTTATTTTATCATTGCTTAAGTTTTGTATAGCCTCATTATTATATGAATTTTTTATTTTGCTTGTGTCTGTAATATCAGATGACCTTGAGTTGTTCTTGAAGGCAGCTTATAGCCCCTTGCAGGCATCTTATGGCCTTGAATTTTGCTTGCATGGTTTCTTTCCTTTTCTATCACTGTGAGAAGTTTGTCTAATGTAACATAGAAATAAGTCTTGTTACCATCTCAAATCAACTGAATTTGGTACTAACCAGCTGAATCAGAGGGATGAAATGATTGGCTATGTTAATGAAAGGTGATAAGAGAAGACCAATGAATATTGTCCAGATTGGGACACCGGAAAAGGCCAAATTAAGAGGTATGCATGCGATGGGTCTGTTGAACAAAGGAATATGCTGACAGGATAAAATATGGACAGTATACTGACTCAAGGAAAACCAATCCAGAAGCAGAGTCATCAGAGGAGTGAAGCTGAGGAAAAGCATAAAAGGAGGAAGCAAAAGAGTTAAGTGTGCGTCCACATAAATCTAGCCTTCAACACTTGTCTGGACCATCGCAGCCCATGATGTACCCTCTGCTTTCAGGAACCAATTGGCCACCTTGTCTGTTGAGCAGAGTAACATCTGAGATTGGGTGAGATCATTGTACTGTTTTTGTCTCTGTATACAGAAACTGCTAAGATAACATTTTTTTGTATCAATAAAGTCAGACTTTAGCTGAATTGATATGTGTTTTCATATTTCACATCCATTTAAGGGATAATTGTGCTTTAATGATCCCTTAGCACCATCTAGTGGAAAGTGGTGCTAACATCAGCATCCTTTTCCTTGTATTCAGCTGGGGGTTGTTTTTGTTTTTTCTTTGTTAGTATAGCCCTCCACACCTCCTCCCATGCCTTCATTTCCTGAGCTACTGTACATTGTCTTGAAATATGGGCCCAGAAGCAAGGGATAAGTGAAGTGTTGCTCTGAAACACCACATATTTTTGCACTACAAAATGACTGTATAACAACAGGAAAGCTAGGCACCTGTGAAGGATAATGTTCTTATTGCTCTTTGAATTAATTAAGCATTACTAGACATCCTTGTCACATTCATCGAGCCCAATGTGTGTGTTCATCAGGTCTGATTTCTCTGGCAATAATTTCTGTAGGCGAGTTTGCGCTAGTTAGTTATCAGAGCTTTCAGCTGAGTTCTTAAATCCTTCAGGCATCTATGTGACTGGCCTAATGTTCAGCTATACCAAACATGAGGATGGAGGGTATGGGTATGTGTGTGGGGTGGCGGGCAGTGTTACAAGGTATTCATAGGATTTGAAAGTCAAACTGTGTATTTAGGCACCAAAACTAACCATTCAGCCTTTATCATTGAAAATCCTCACCTACAGAATGAAGAGTATTTTTGGTAAAACATTTACCTTTATTTCCATGAAGACAGTTCTTTAAAAATATACTAACCTGCAAGCTCATTGGTGCCAAAGAGTCCTGCTGCGCTTGCAATACTAACCAAATGTCCACAGTTAGAGGCAACCATAGCTGGAAGGAAGGCTTTGTATGTCTATGAAACATTGGGGAAAGCCACAATTAACCACTGAACCTTTCCTACTAATATTTCACATTTATCAGTTCAAAAGAGAGTACTATGTTAGAAGGAATCCTGCCAGGAAACTTCTGCTTACAACAACCCATAGCACACACACACAGCTGCACTCTAGACTGCACAGGACAGGGCAGGAAGTTTGACTGCTTTGTTCATCATCTGCACATGGAAGCCAGACTCATCAATATATTTTTGTTCCCTCATGTTATCAGTTACTGGAAATAAGGTAGGAACTAGTTTGTTGCCAGCCAGAGAGCACTTTATGAAACAAAGGTTCTCTCTAAGATGCATGTTTCCTATGCATATGAGCTCAGCACATCAACTTTTTTCCATGTGGGCTGCCAATGTGAAATAAAACCACCACTCCTTAAAACAGCAGTCAGGAATGGGAAACCTGAACTTCTAACCTTCCCCCGCCATCACTTGTAGATTGTACCACTTCTTCCATTTGAGGGAAAAATATGGAAGAACAGTATGTTTTTATAAGCCCTCCATAGTTCTTTGTATGCAATATTGCTCTCACACACGCAGAAACACAACTCAAATGACCTTCCTTTGTCACAAAATAGTCATGCATGCCAAAGTATATGAGATTGATATTAAGGACATCAGCTAGTAATGCTCTCTGTTACCTGGGCCCACATGCATGTAGGGTGTTTAAGTGGTAACATCTTACTTAGTTGCCTAACTTCCCATTGATTTTACAGGGAAAATGTGTGTCTGAATAAATCTGGGAGTCCAGTTTCCATTTCTAACTAGAAGCTTGCATTATCATCCGTAGTTTGTCCAAATAGTCAGAATAGGTCCTACTTCTCTTCATGATAGCAGCCAATAGATCTTTTCTGGTAATGAAGCAACCAGCATTTTGACTTAGCTATACAAGCTCAATGTCCTCCTTCAAATTTGGCAGACAGTAAGGCTGATAAGAGTTATTCCAGCAGTGCTTCTGAATACAACAAGCCTACCCTGGGAGGCTGCACATGCTCTCTCTTTAAGCCAAGTCAAGCTTCATGCACATGATAGGGGCTGGTGCCATTCCTCCAATCTCCAGTTTGCCATCCTCTTCTACACGAGAGGTTTACAGATATGCCACCAATTTGAGAGTGTGGCCTCACAACTGCACACAAGTGTCCAATTCCCAATGGGGGAGAGGGGTGGGAATCTTGGTTCCCACTCAAACAAGACAAATATAACCCTTCCCTCAACTGCTACCACCCACATCCTTCTTTTGGTGTTAGTAAGCTTATCCTTAAAAAAAAATTTTAAAGTTACCCAGAAATGTGCCATTGCGTTCACTTCCATGGTTTTCTGCATACGGGAATCTAGAGATTCAATAAATTTCTTTCCACTTACAATACCAGCATTATTGATTAGGATGTTAACATCTCCAACTTCTTTTTTCACCTGGACATAAAAAGACAAGCTGTCATACAATAGCCTTAACTATTTTAAAAAGCACGTTTCATATTTACATCAAAACTGGCAACCTTTCCACGTCAGGCTCATCCCTCTGTCTTTAATCTTTATGCACTTTCTCTAGTACTGTATCTCTCTGGGGTAGCTCATACACTTTTTTTTTTGGGTAGAGAATGGTGTTGAATTTCAGCACCTTTTTCTTTTTAGGAACCCCTGTTGGGGACTTACCTGCTAGCAGCCATACAGCTATTAGATATTTTGCTGCAATGCAGGACAACCTTTCCAAAATATACCACCCTTTGTTAGTTAAGTTAAACATAGGGTTTCAGTGTCCTTAGGTTCTAGTGGAAAAAAAAACATATCGGTATTGGCAAGATTTCTCACCTGGCCACCCCAACAATGTAGGATTGTGTCACTCACTGCACAGGCAGAAGCTCACTTAAACCAGTACTCTGACACCTCTGCTCTTTGTTTTGAATTACAATCGTTCAGTTTTCACAAGCATCGCTGCTTTTGGCAGTTGTTTTGTGTTTGGACTGTCCCTTAGGGGATGAACAAATGTTACATTTCTACCAGTGGAATTACAGTTCCACTTGCTCAGAAAGCATTTTAACTGGTGCATACAGCACTTCAACTGTTTAAAACATGGCTGATGCAGTGGAAATTTCCACTGCATCAGATGTGGCTATGATGCCAACTGGTTGGGCTGCGAGCATTTGAATGCATGCTTGAACAGAACTCTCATCACCTAGGGACACAGGGATGCCCTCCAGCATCCCGGCAGGCCCTGCACGCACCCTTGCCCCTTCTTTCCAGGGAGACACTCTGTGACTCAGACTGCACTCTGATACTACAGCCTGAGTGACAGTACACCTTCCTGACAGCTCAGGGGCTATCAAAGACCAACCAGTGCTGGCAGGGAAAGGGTTCAGGGGTCGCAATACAGTTGGGGTGGGCCGGAGTCTGGTCTCCTCCTGCTCCCAAACTGCAGAAGTCCCAACCCTTCCAGGATCTGACAAAACCCACTACTGTTCCCCAAGCGGACACAGCCCTGCTGCCATGCCCCGTTCCTGGAGACCCCGCCCCATTCCAAGCCTGCCTCCTCCCCCCACCATTCCCAGAGACCTCCACTCTCCCCCACTCCACATTCCCAGCCTTCCACTAACTCCATCCTACATTCCCAAAGACCCCTACACATCCCCCATTCCCAGAGACCCTCCTCAACCCATTCCCATTCTCAGCTCCACCCTGCCCCAGCCCCCGACCCCATTCCCTACCCCCTCATGCCACCTCAAAGAGCCCTACTTGGATCACTGGCCCATGTATGGGGCAGGTGGGTGAAAGGGTCTCAGATCCCAGTGGGGCCAGATCTCTGCAGTTTTTGGATAGGAGGGTATGATGTCTGTAAGACTCACCCCACCCCACCCCACCCCACCCATCCCCAAACTGCAGGGATCCCACCCCGACTCAATTCCCTATGACTCGTGTTGCAGAGTTTTTAGGAATGCTCAGTAAGAACACTATGAGATATTTTGATAGATGGAGATATTTTGATAGCTGATTATTTCCCTCACCAGGTCTCCAGCCTTTTTCAGAAAAGTCTAGATTCCAAGACATGCCCATCATATGTGGGAGAATCCTTCCAATATTTGCCTGCTCCGTTACCAGAAATATGTCTTAAATGTGAAGTGAGGCAAAGTCCAACCATCAATAAATGTGAAGACAAACTAACAATATAGAACTTTAAAATAATTCTATTATCATGTTGATGAATATGCAATGCCCATTTTTCCAGATGGTCTCCCTTAATTCAACCTGAATTTCTGATTTGATGTCAACAGTTCACTTGGAAACTAGAATTCTAGTTTCATGGCTAGAGTCCCTCCTGTCCTCACTCTCCCTCTGCATTCACACCCCCAGACGGCAATAACAATCCTGTCCTTGCTGTCCTCTCCCTCTCCCTCAATGGATGATAAAACTAACGCCTTGCCTTCTATACCGCCACGCTGCTTGAGTACCCAAAATAGCATCAGTGAACGCCCAGGAGAAAGTCTCTTTGTTTCTAGTGTTGATATTTGGTGCCACAGCTCCCCTCAGCATCTGAGTAACAATTCCAAACAAAATAGTTTAGCAGCTAGCCCAAACCCCAGAAGCCTGTCATGTATCATGAGCTGCTTTGTGGGGATAGCACATGTCTGCATGTACGAGCTGTGAGGGGGATGAAACATATTTAATGCAAAGAGAATCTGAGAATATTTCCAGCTTCAAACAAGCTTTCATAGACCTCTGTACTTTCTGCTTAAGACCAAACAGATGGGTTGAGGGGTGGAGAAAAGGTGGTGAAGGAGTGGGGAAAATAGAAAAGGGAAAAAACACTTGACATCAAGATAGCTCTCCTGACAAAATACTGCTGCCACAGAAACCATAGAAGCTCTAGATCTTCTCAACAAAACCAGGTGTAGTAAAAACAACTTTTAAACATAAGGAAAAATGCTTTAGTTTACTCTAAAGTTATTCCCAGACATGACTGAACCATTTGACCTGAAGCAAACAAAAATCTATAGCCAACTCTTTTTTATGTTTTAGTGTCTTATGCAATGGGAAACAGATTCCTGTAATGGAAGACTTTCATGAAACTTAGCTATAGGCATTATTACCAACACCAGTTACTAAATCTGTATAGCTAAGAAGGGAAAGCCTGCAATAGTTCAGCCTCCATGTTGTATTTATTCATTTTAATCAAATCTCTCTCCACATCTTTTCAAATTTCCATGAGCAATTCTAGATTTGCGTAAAAACGATTAACCGCTTACAAGCACAAGGTATAACTACTTTCAGTGCTCATTCTTGATAGAAGGTTGACCAACTTAAAGTCTAGCTTCAGTATCAATATACCGGGTACTTTGCGTCGGTCTTTCATCAGTCCCATGGGACGCCCATGCCCACTATGGGACAGGGAGGTCCAGGTGAGGGAGATCCCCTGCCCTCCATCAATGCTGACCTTGTGAAGGAACATCTTGAGAGGCTGGATACCTTCAAGTCAGCTGGCCCTAACAATCTACACCCCAGGATACTCAAGGAGCTGGCGAGCATCATAGCCCAGCCTCTAGCACGGATCTTTGAGAACTCCTGGTGCTCTGGTGTAGTGCCCGAAGACTGGAAGAAGGCCAATGTGGTGCCTATCTTCAAGAAAGGGAGGAAAGTGGATCTGGCAAACTATAGGCCCATCAGCCTGACCTCTATTCCGGGGAAGGTCTTAGAAAAGTTTATTAAAGAGGCCATCCTTAATGGACTGGCTGACACCAACATCCTGAGGGGTAGCCAGCATGGGTTTGTTGTGGGTAGGTCTTGCTTGACCAATCTCATTTCCTTTTATGACCAGGTGACCTATCACCTAGACACGTGAGAAGAGATTGATGTCATATATCTTGACTTCAAAAAAGCCTTCGATCTGGTATCCCATGATCACCTCTTGGCGAAACTGGCCAATTGTGGCCTTGGTTCCACCACGATCTGCTGGCTGGGAAATTGGCTCCGTGGTTGAACCCAGAGGGTGGTAATTGACGGAAGTCAATCGTCATGGTGCCCTATGACCAGTGGGGTCCCCCAAGGCTCTGTCCTTGGATCCATATTGTTCAACATCTTCATTAATGATATGGACATCGGCGTCAGAAGCGGACTGGCCAAGTTTGCCGATGACACCAAACTTTGGGGCAAAGTATCCACACCTGAAGACAGGAGGGTGATCCAGGCTGACCTGGACATGCTCAGCAAATGGACGGATGAGAACCTGATGGTGTTTAACACTGAAAAATGCAAGG